GGAGGGCCTCTCTAGCTCGTTTTTGCTAAATAAAACCTTAAACTGTCACACAATATATATGATTGGAAAAGTTTTAAATGTATTCAAGATCTCTACGTACTAATTACTAATAACTATACATATATTTAGTAAGAACGGGCTAAGTTAACATAAAAAAAACAACTTCCTAATTATTCAACTTCCATTTTTATACAGACACGTATTAACGGACAAAATTCGTGAAATTAATTTGTTTGAATATTTCAAAGTTATTGCCCCACTCGGTATATACATATACGGCACGCGTCGAACGGCGGAGATCGCTGAGAAAACATTTTTAGTCGCTCGAAACAAGCGACCGAGCGAGAAGGACGGGACGTTCGTGACGTAGCGTCTCGCTGTCTCGCTCTCTCTCGATGCGTCAAAGGTTGCCGAACGAGAAAAGAACGGACGTATCGAGCTGTCGCGCTCACTCATACTGAGCAAATCTTCTTTATCCTGATTTAACACGAACCCGAACCACGTCCACTTTCGACGAAACGATTTTATCGACGAGACGGCGGTTCACGAAAATGGACGTGGTACGTAGTTCCCGCAGCGTTGGTGCCGCTAGTGTACGGGCAGTTAGAAGCATTACAAGAAAAAGGCCTCCATGGCCGCTCTCAGGTTTCTCTCTGCTATTAGTTTTTACCTACAAACTGCACAATTGAGTCTCGTCAAGTCATAAGCGGGGACAGAGAGAAACCTGAGAGAGGACATAACGACCTAAAACCTGTAACCACAAAATACTGCCGCGCACTACTGCCCACTGCAAAAGTGGATGTGAGCTACATGCCAGATCCACTATTCTGAGGATAACGCATATACTTTTCAAGACTGATGGTAAGTAGATATTCGCGGTTCGTATAATCGTATTCGCGCTACATAAAATGTGGATCAGAATAAATATTCCTCCCTGCAACTACATATATGTATGCTTACTTCCATGCGCGTGATGTTTATTATTAAGCTTAAAAGTATTAACATTAAAGATATATATTACACCCATTTTTTTTACAAATATGTTAAAATATATCGCGCGTGTTTATATTTTAAATAAGTTATATATACATATATATGATCCCGGCAATTAATTCGCATTTAGAGATTTCAACATTACAGAGCTGCTTTGTGAAGTTGGCACCTTAAATGCGAATATTGGTAAAATCATTATTGCATTCGTTTGTCCAC